TGAACACCTTATAATATAAAAATCTATACATTTCAAAATTAGATTTTTAATTAGTAAAATTGCATCATATTTAATTAATAATTGTAGATCATTTTGTCCAAATGACTGGTGGATCATTAATTAAATATTTTAGTTTTTTAAAAAAGTAGATCAGAGCTAAAAAAATGCAAAAACACAGGCAAATTTGCCTATGTTCTACTACAATCTAAGGGATAAAAAAAGAAACAATAAGCAAAAAGATAATATATATAGAATAAAACAGTTTAAGAAAATAGAATACTATTTAAAATGAGAAAACAAATAAATAAACATATCAACCAAACTTTTATATAAACTAGTAACAAATACCAGACTAAATGTAGAATAAAAAGAAATAACAGTAATCAAGAATCTAGAATTAGTAATAGAAATAACAATTTATGACTGAGTATATTTTTGAAAAATGTTAAAATTAACCAAAGAAGTATACTGTATAACAAGAAGAAGCAGCATAAGAAAAAATTTCATAATCCCCTAATTTTAATCCTATAGAAAATATTTAAAAGATCATAAAGAACAATATTCAGGACCATAATGATTTTTCAAAAAATAAATTTGATCTTACAAGAAGTATAATCAAATTTGGATATATTAGTTCTTTATGTAGTTGCAGACTTAATGATATGAAGAATTGACATTATTGCAAGTATAGAAGGTTACTCATTGAAATATTAAAAAAAATTTTTTTTTTAGTATTAAGATAACCTCTTTGGTCTTTTAATTTTTATTAATTACTTATTAGTATTGTGGTTCAATGAACCATTACAGAAGAGCATACAATTGACTACACATGTAACTTTTTTATATTACCTATTTAAAGAGTTCACTCGAAGGTTCTCTACCAATTGTCGTATCTAATACCTCTGCTTGGGTATTCTACTTTAAATACTCTGAACCTATAATCTGTATTAATATCACTAGTTATCTCAAATATATTAGATCATTGTCCTTAACTTTAGAACTAATTTATTCTTGAGGTAAACCTCTCAGAGCCTTCTGTATTCATTTTTATAGCTGACCTAGGTATCATTATAACAAAACCAATATTTGTAATTAGAACTAATCATTAAACCGCTATGCCCTTGTAGAGTTCATTTAGACCTCAGCATCTATTTCATAGCATAATCCTGATACTTTAGTATACTCTTGCCTTTTTCTCTGCCCTTTTACCAGACTTCCAATCTAGATAACCTATGTAAGACTATGACCAGTCCATCGGTATATCAAATTAGCCCGATATCCTTTTCCTTTGATTTGTTCTGACAGCTTGATTGATGATACCTCTGAGACTTCCAAACTGAAGGTTCTTGCTTATCTAACTACTAGAACCAGATACTAGACCTGGGTATCTGTTTAGTCAAGCTAACTTTTACAGTAGAGCCATCAAAGATCCAGCTATCTTTCTATTCGAGTTTTTCTAAATAAACTTCTTGTTACTTAATTTCAATAAATTTACATGATAACAAGAACTTATCTAATGTTTGCACTGCCTAATTTGTTAGTTTGCAGTTTTTCATGTAACCTCAACATTGCACAGAGCCCCATGACCTGCCAGTCATGCTGGTGCGACCACCATTACAGGTATCCTAACCCAATTGTTAATAACAGTTATCATAATACAAATATTACATAAATGATTATTCAAATTTTTACTGTTAATGGGATTTGAACACCCAACCTACTACTTGAAGGGTTAACAACCTGACCACTTCACTAGGTCACCACACCCTTATATTAAATAAATATAAAAAAACAATTTAATGTATATGTGACCAAAATTAAATAAATCAATTTTGATCAAAAATCGGGCATTACTTTTGTTGGCTACTGTACATACGTACTATTTGTGAATTGATTGGTTGATCTAGCACGTGACTGTGAAAATTTTGGTGACGATACTGTGGAACGGACCGTCTACGGACGTACTGATTCACGTGATTTGTACGTACCTAAATCTAAAACCTGTCACGTGCTAAAATACTTACCCTAAAGTTAGGGTACGTGCAAGTCATATGAATTGGTACGTGTCCGTAGATCGTCCCACTGTGGAAGATGAACATACACTGCTCGTGATCATATAAAAGCGGGATTCGAAAAATTCGCGGATCAGTCGTTACTATGTTTATAGATACAGTAGTTGTTAAAGGATCGTCATATAGTGTAGCCAATCAAAATCATGGATCAACCGCGTTCATAATCACATGTACGCGACTTTTACTGTAAAACCAGCTTTTCCTAACGCGCAATTAAACGACAAAATGGCTGAAAACGTATGCCGTCGTCGTGGCATTCTTTCATATTTAAAATTTCCTTTAAGTGATATAACGCGTCAAAATTCAAACTTGTGCCGAGATGATTCTGAACCTTTATTACAAATCTCTGAAGCACCACCTAAAAAGAGAATAAAGTTGGAGGATTTTCAGCCATGCCAACCAAGATTTACTGATAACAAAGAAAATGATATTATATCAACAACTACATATCGTAATAAGTTAAAGAAACCATATGCCGGCTTAACATCCCAGCATGCCTTATTTCGCAGAGAACTTTGGGGTACAGCAATTGGCGGATCAGCTATGGCGTCTACAAGATGGATTGGTAAACTTTACTTGTTATTATATCGTTTTGGCAATAACATAATTTCATGGAAGCTCATTTTTTTTAAATAGCATCGACTCGATTTTTCATGAAAGATTTTACGAGCTCTGATAAAGATATATTTAAGTTTCTTGGGGATCGAGGACTAGTCGCGCCATTCGCATGCTCTTTCAGTCACGGTTGATATTTAATAATAATAAAATGTATTATTATATAGCGACATTAACATCATTCTGATGCGTCCCTTTACATGACACATCTAGCTGTTCAAGATGGAAAATGTTTAGCAGTAGCCGATGAAGAAGGCACAGTAGGTTTGATAGATGCGAGATACGATAATACCATAGAGACTGGTAAGGATTATCTTGAAACTGTCTATTTATGCACATAAAAATCACTATGTTAATTGTGTAATAATTCGCTAACAAATCGTAAACTGTAGAACGAGTTCGAACGGAATTTCGTGCTCACGATAACGCAGTATTTGATTTAATGTGGAGTCCTGATGACCGACATATGGTATATCAGATTTACAAATGTAATTGAATTGATAGACTTGTATTTATTCTGGTAAAACTCTTCTCGTATCATACCTCAACGTAAAAGGTGACGGCGTCAGGTGACCAAACCGCCCGCCTATGGGATGTAGAATTACAACAATGTAAAGCTGTCTTTCTTGCACACACTTGTAGTATCAAATCAGTCAACTACAATTCGACTGATCCAAGTAAGCAATTTTATCAGTTTTGTGGTTCAACCAGAATATATATTACTTATGATTGTTTAAACGAATATAAGATATGTGGGTAACTGCTTCAAGAGACGGTAATATTTTTATCTGGGATGTTCGAACAACTGGCATGCAAACACCGGAAGGACCGGAAGGAGGTATACTTTGTTACTGTTCTTTTTTTTTTTTTTTTATAATCAAGCAAACAACAATAACGCTATCATTGTTATGGTCAGAAATGTTTTATAAGCCTACCAACAGTATCAGATCAGCCCACTCGCCTGACAATCCGAAAAAGAAGGCAAGGAAGAGTTGTTCTCTTCCACATAGGGTTTGAACCTTTATATATTTAATATGGTAGATTAGTCATTCAAGTACAATCTTATGAATCTTATGTTTAATTGTTATACCCATTCCAGAGTAAACCGACAAGCAGTGTAACTGGGGCGTTATTCTTGAAACATCAAGAACACTTATTGGCATCTTCTGGCGCAATCGATGGGTAAGTATTAAATTTATTTTGAATTAGATCGCCAAATTTGTATGTCAATTTTGGTTAATTGTTATTTTATAATTTAAAGTATAATCAAATATTGGGATTTACGAAACCACAGTAATACAAAAGCCTCGCAACCAGTTCAACTTTCAATTAACGGTGCAACCGCTAAGCGTCCTCATGGTAATTTGTCTAATTTTATTTATTATTATCTTTTAAATAGTTGAGCTTTTTTAAGTTGATTAATTTCTCGATTGGAAAAAGGTATATCCGCGTTGATTTTAGACAACAATGGCACTCGATTATATGCAAACAGCACCGACAACTAGTATGTTTTTTTTTCGATTTTACAGCACTTTGAATACTAGCATTTAATCACTTAATAATTTAAATCATAATAGTATTTATCAGTATGATCCTATCAATTTGGGTGCACCATTGACTCGATTTACTAGTCCAACATTTCGTTGTTCTTCATTTTACATTCGCATGGCAATTTCACCTGATGATAGATACATCATCAGTGGATCAAGTGATAAATGTGTATATATGTGGGAAACGGATTTTCCGGACGAAAATCCTATTGTTTTGAAAGCTCACGAGAATGAAGTGACTAGTTTGAGTTGGTCAAGGGATCTCGAAATGGTATGTCTACCCAAACTAATATTTTTGTTTATAGTTGAACTCAGTGTTTATAACTTTTCGATATGATTTTTATCTTAGTTTGCTTCCTGTTCGGATGATGCTTCTTTACGTTTTTGGAGAGTCGACAAACCTTACTAGCATAAAACAATGCTTTCTAATTTGTGCTACGCGATTTGCATGGTTTTAGATTTTTATGCACTTTCTGTTATTTGCATTTCTTTTTTTTTAGCATAAAAAAAAATGCTTTATGATTTGTGCTACGCGATTTATGTCATTTTAGACTTTTTCGAATAAATTTGTTATCTGCTTTTTACCTTTCGCAAATTAACAAGTTTATATTATGTGTCCAAATTTTAAAGTACCGACATATGTACTCGATAGTCATATGACCAAGGTCATAATTTAATAGTAAATTTTAGTGTTCCGCACGGATCGGATCGGACGGATCTTTTTAAAGATCTGGATCCGATTCGAAAAACCGGATCGAATCCAAGTCCAGATTCGGATCCGAATAAGAAAGATTTGGATCCGGACCCAATAAAAAAATTGCGGTTATCGAATAGATAATGCATTTTCTTATTTACATAACCACTTTGATATTTTTTTTTAATTATTATTTCAAATCGTCAATAATTGAATAAATTACAGCTGTTATCATTATTCCTGAATAATTATGCATGTTGCCGATCATCATCGAAAATTGTGTAGCAGTGAAGAAATACTACTTATCCAAAAATCGATAAATCTTGTTATTTTAATTCTGAGTCAATAGAATTAATACAAAAAAAATCACATCGATTTTAGATAAGTAGTTATTGAGCTATCATCGCTCAAATTTTGGAAAAATTTAGTCGCGGTCTTTGATGATCGGCTAAATTTTTTTTTCGGTAGCTGCTTATCTAAACTCAATGAAATTTCTTTATCCTAATTCTATGGATCCATAGAATTAAAGTAAAAAAACTTTCATCGATTTGAAGTAATTATCAAGATATCACTGCTTAAAGTTCAATTAGATCAAAGCAAAGACTGCGGTTAAATTTTTCTGAACTTTGAGCGATTATAGCTCAATAACTACTTATCTAACATAGATGAAATTTTTGTTAATTCTATTGACTCAGAATTAAAATAACAAAAAATTTATTTGATTTTGGATAAGTAGTTATTGAGGTATTTTCATTAAAACTTCGAAAAATTTCTTCACGGCTAAGGGCATACATAATTTTCGATGATGATCAGTAACATGCATAGCTCATTGAGTATAAATATCAATTCCCTACGTATCAAAAATTGTTTATAAAAATTTATAATATCAACCAATCAAAATATATAATTTGTATTACGTACTAAAAAATTTAACCAGATAAATTTTTCAATACGTAAAAGCATTTTTTTAAATATTTTATTAATAAAACTTTGCTGTTATATAAAAAGTATTTTAACCTAATTATAAAATTTTAATAAAAATAATACAAATATAAAAATTTTCATTAGTAACAAACTTTATTTTCTATATAAAATTGTATTGTACCACAAAACTACTTAATAAATAATATACATACCCCTACCCTTAATCTTCGTCCCAATTTGAGTTTTGTTGTGGAGGTTTTGGTCCACCTGCTGGCTTGCTCATGATAATCTGCACCACAAAAAGCGTTAAGCGAAAAATTAAGGCTCAATAGTGTTAACGTAAAAATACATTGGAAATTATAGTTCCAATCTGGATAATTCGATGAGTACTCAGATAATTATCCAGATATCAATAATAAACGGATATCCGATGGATAAATGGATAAACGGATAATGGGTAGGAAAACTAAAATTGGAAACTTGACAAACCTGATCTACTCTCAAGACTGTTAAAGCAGCATCCGTAGTAAATTTAATAGCCCAACTTTTAGCTACCAAACAGTCAAAAATTCCAGCCTTAAAAGCGTCTAAAGTATTATTTTCAGTATCACTTTCGATATCTACACCAATCAATCCACTATCATCTTGATGATGAGCTGCATAAAGTTTCGAAAGAACTTGCGTTGCATCTAATCCTGCATTTTCTGCGAGAGTGCGTGGAAATACTTCAAAAGCTTCCGCAAAAGATTTTATTGAGTGTTGATTGATACCAGGAGTTTTCTAGATATTTCATGTTTAGATATATTGAAACAAAATACAAAAGAAAATTAATAATACATAAAACATAAGCTGAACACGCGTCTTTAAAATGTATAACAAGATGTAAATGTTACCTCTCCAAAAGACAGTAAACGTTTAAGCAATTCCATTTCAGTTGCACCTGCACCAGCGACTAGACGCCCATCTCTAATAACTGCTTTTACAACATTGACACCATCATCAATAGCACGTTCTGCGTCGTCAAGAAAATTTTGAGTCGCACCACGAATTACGATAGTAGCAGTTTTCGAAATTTCATTTTCTATTATTCATAATGTCGACGAATTAGCTATATACCTTGTCTAATTTACACTAATTACCTTTATACCAATAACTCAAATTAATACCTTGTCTAAAAACTGTAACCCTATCACCACCTATTTCAACGGTTTCGACAATATCACAGAATCCCATTTCTTCAGGAGTAGGAGGGCCTAATCTGGCCAATACTGAAGCACCAACAACTCTGCACAACCGACGTAAATCAAACTTTGATAAAACTTTAACAACCATTATATTGAGCCGGTTTAAATAATGTAAAGCCAATTCACCAACACCGGAACCAGTAACAACGACATTTATTCCAGCATCAGCTATTTCTTTTAAAATCTAATTTATGATGATATGGATGGAAAAAAAATACGCATATATTAGTAGCATTAATACAGTGTAAAGTCAAGACCGAAATTATAATTATAATAAATATTTAAGATTGCCTTTTCCATCTGTTGTTCTTCGCCTTTAGTAAAATTTAACATTTCTTGTGCATTGTGAATCAAAACAGTCCCTTTTGTTTCAGTTTGTGCAATGTCCAAAGAACAAGTAAAAATTCCAATTTTGGCCTTATATGCCTTATGAACAACACCCTCAGGTTCACGGCCAAATACCATGCCATTAACCACCTTACTTTCGTAAATACTACTACCCATTATTTTAACCACACGAATATTGTCCACATTGAAATTTGCAGGATTTTTTGGCATAATTGAAAGCGCAGCATCGATGACTAAATCAGTAAGTAAATCTTCATTTCCATATTGCTTAGAGGCAATGGCCGTCTTGACAGCTTTTAAAAGCTCTGTTTTTGATTTCTGATCTTTTACGGTTTCCACACAAAGATCTATAAATCATATTAACGATTAATTAGAAAAATAAGGTCAAATTTAATAATAAATAGAACAAAAAACAGTTTGAGATTGACCTTCCAAAATTTCTAACGCTTTGTCCCTTGCAAGTTCATATCCTTGCACAATTTCACTTGGATGAAGTCCCATACGTAGCAAATATTCAGCTTTTTGTAGTAGCTCGCCGGCAAAGACTATAACAAAATTTGTCGCGTCACCGACCTAAAGGATTGTAATAGTTTTTTTTTTGATTAAAAAAATTTTTATACAGTTTAAATAATTTGTGTGAAACTTCATTTCAAGGTAGATGCTATATGAGATCTATTACATCACTATATGTTTAGATGTTGTCCATATTTAGAGCTTGGACCCGGTCATCCGTTTTCATATTAAATTTAACGGATATCCGACGGATTTTACTCTTAAAGTTGTATCCAACGGATAACCGGATTCAAGCTCTAGTCCATATAATGATTTTTGGCAGATTCTTAAGAAAATAAATATTAATAGAAATAGACGATCCATTACCTCTTGCTCTTGCTGCTGACTCGCCATTACCAATAATTTTGCTGCTGGATGCACGACTTCTAATTCGCGAATAATTGTGGCAGCATCGTTAGTAACAAAAAGCTTTTCAAGATGGTTGATCACCATTTTATTCCTCCCTGTTTTATTATAATGTTAAATTCAAATCTTTATAAGTATTTTCTTCTGTAATCAGTGTTGGTTATCCAGTTGTGAAATAGAATACCATTAGGGCCGAAAGAAGTTCTAACGATTTCTGATAGTTCGTGTATAGCTTGAATGTTTTTAAGTACAGCTTCGTCAACACCTTGAAGGTTCTAAATATTAAATTAAAGCAATGATAAGATAAAATAAAATCATATTGATAGATCAGTGTCGCGTCCGTACTTTGAACCTTTTTCAGTCTGTTTAAGTTTAGGAACACTGACATTATGCTTTTTTTCTTTACTTATGGTTTAAATTGAACACGAACCTTATAGCCATCCTTAAATAATTGAGGATAACTACTCTTGGGAACACGTAAAGCCATCTTAAGTTTGATCTAATTGATCTAAATTGAAAAATGTATGTATGTATCAGTATGTACAAAAAAAGTTTCTCAATACAACGATATTATCACGTGAGAATAAAACTGGATTCTTAAATATTGCGGTAGCACAAATATTAAGTGTTTTTTTGATCCGCTATAGCAGTAGTTGAAAAAAAATAATGGTACAAGGTCAAGGAAAATTCAAAGCGTCAAATACAAGCTCCAGAAAATCTAATAAAAAAACTAATGTGCTTAGACTGAAGAAAGGAGGTTAGATGTTTTTTTTTGGTAAATTACATTTTTTGAATTGTGAATTTATCGGTTATAATTTCTTTGATTTCACAAAAACAGCAAGAGCGATAGCACCAAAAAGACAATCAGTAATAAAACAAAAAGCTATACAAAAAGTTCGTGTTTTTTTTTACATAATGATAATAATAAATTATCTGTAATTATAAAGTGCTTGTAAGGTTAATAATAATTATTATATATAATATTACCAATATCAGAAATTAACTTCGGCTATAAATAGAGATATCGAACAAGTTATAGCATCAAAAGCAGAATCTGTTGGCGGGAAAAAATTTAATTTAATCAAGAGAGAAGCCAAGAAGGATAAGAAAGCAAAAATGTTATGAGTTGGTGCATTTGCATCATGGCTCATATATAATTATGTAATTAATTTATATATGTATTATTGTTATAACATAGTATATATTTTTTTTTTTCACTTTGGCAGTCTTGCCGGTAACTTTATTAGGTTAATATATACATGAGTGCATTTTGTGTTCTAACTTGGGGTTTCGACATCATACGGCTGCTTCAATAAGTTGTGGGTGGCTGAAGCCAACTACAAAATAATCTTTATTTTGCTACATCAGGTCATTTTATAATTTATTATTTTTTAGGTAATGTTTGCTGGTAGTATTGATAGTTCTACAACTGATTTTTTAGTGCACAGATATTAAATCACGAACCTGCTACTGTTAAAATCACAAAATCACAATATTAAAATCATGAACTCATCGTTAAAGCTATAAATATACAATGCTGAAATCATGATCCTTTAAACTATAAAATAAACTTGTCTTTAAAATAAATTTATTTTTTAAATTAAACTTATCTTTAAAATAAATTTATTTTTTAAATTAAACTTATCTTTAAAATAAATTGTTTTTCATTGTTTTTAAAATAAACTTGTTATTAAACTAAACTTGTCTTAACCTAAAATAAACAGTTTATAAAATAAACCATCTATAAAATAAACAGTCTATAAATTAACTGCCTATAAATTAATTGTCTATTAAATAAATTTATTTATCAAATAAATTGTCTATTAAATAAGCTTGTCTATAAATTAATTAATAAAAAATGCGTGATACAAATAAAGCACAATAAAAAACTCGTAGATTTTAATAAAAAAAATGCACATTAAAGCATATAAAAAAATTTCGCATAATGTAAATTTAAGGAAACTTACATCGATCTAAAGGTTTCGATTGGATAAACTTACGTTCCCAGGTCGTTTAATCATATAAAGTTTTTCAATCACATCAAAGTAAATAATGTTAAAATTATGTTACCCAATATTTAAATTTTGGGTTCTGAAAGTTGTTGGAATTTTAAGTACAGTTAAACATTGATTAACCTTAGTAAAAAGTCTCGCCGAAAGTACACCCTCCATGATGCTAATAAATTCATTGGGAACTCTACGAAAAAAAGTCATTAGTTTGTGAGTCCAGAAATTGCTTCCTTGCAAATGTACAGCCATGACTAAAAAAATATTCATAACTTATCGATTCGTCCGGAATTTTGTGCATTACAGTAGCGAAAATTAGGCCTAAGAATATAACTATCAGTAATAAATATATTGCTTTTTATGCAAGAATGATAAAAATTCGTAAGAATAAAGCTTAAAGATCTAGAACTATCACATAGAGATTATAATATAACTTAACTGTCTCTTTTTTTTTGTGATCGGTTTATCACTGCATGATGATACACCTCCCAAGAGTGAAATCACGAGTCATAAACTTTGGAGGTAGTTTCCTAGTTCCAAAGCGTAGGGATGGTGCAAAAGGTGAGCATTTCTGCGAGACCCTCATCTCTTTCTACGATACACCTCCCGAGAGTAGAATCACGAGTCATAAACTTTGGAGATAGCTTCCTAGGTCCAAAGCGTAGGGATGGTGTAAAGGCGAGCATTTTTGCGAGGCCCTCGTAGAAAGGCAGTGATGTTTAGCCAAAATCATAACTAACAAAAAAATAAAATGAAAAAAGGTATTTAAGCAAGAGAAAAGTCAAAGAAAAAAAAATAACAAAAGAAAAAGATATCGAGAAGAAAATAGAGAAAGTGAAATGAGGTGCTTATTTCAATTAAAACTTTTCCGCACGTGATTAAACAGGGATGCGTAAGTTGTCCAATAAAAAAACGGGTGCTGAGACGCGTTAAAACTTTTCCGCTACCTTTCACGTGGAACCGGTTCAGACTCATAGGACGACTTTCTTCTGATTGGCTTATGTAAATCAATTGCCCGGGTAACTTATTTATACACTTTAAAGTACTTTTTAAGAATATAAAGTTTCACTAACAAAAAAATCGCCGTAAAAGCAAACTCTAGCTCTAAACGAACATAGATATTCGCTGTTAAAATTAATCCAAAATAATCCACCTTTCCAAGACTTCACTTAGGAGCAAATATTTTTACTATATACTGCTAGTATTTTAGGTCTTAAATGCAAAAAGCCGTCAATAAAAAATAAGATTGAGACGTTACGTATAAGTTTTAAATTTAAAACTTTGAGTGACGATTTGACCAGTTATATATTATTATTATTAATAGACTTGTTCTAACGTTTAATGTATATTTTATGTTAGAATTATACTACTAGAGTAGGAAACGTAACTTTAGGTTAAGTGGTGGTCGATATTTCATTAATTAATTATATAGGCTAAGGTTATGTCGCGTCTTTAATAAAGGTCGGGATAACTAAAATAAGAATTATTTTAACTATTTTTTAAGATGTGATAAATAAAAAATAGAAGATAACTTCGTTAATAATTTATTCGCATATTGAATTTTTAATCGATTTAAGCTTGGGCTATTTTTAATAAATATCAATTTAAACGTTGTCTACGTATCTATTTCTAAAATGAGAAAATTTCTTTTTTGCGTTTATTAGTATTAAAACGATAAATCTTAATTAAAAATTATCTATTTTGATTGGCTAATTACCACGGGAATTCACGGGTAGATCTACAAAAATTAGGCAATCATATAAATGTCTTCCTATGAGGTTCAGACTAACAGGAGGAACTGTTTAATGTTACACGAATTTTCGAATTTGCGAAAATTTCAGATGTTGAAAATAATTGGCGTCACATGAAAATTAACCAATCAAATTACATCAATTATCACCAAATGGGGGCACAAAATTTTCGGGTAATGTAACCTGCTTTATTTTTTGGTAAATGAAATTTAAAATTATATTTCTATACTGAACCAAAGATATAAACGTACACATTATATGTAATATTTACATTAGTCACTGACCTTAAATTATATGCCAATTTTATTAAAACTTAATTGAATCAGTCAGAACATTATTAGGTCAATTTTTATCAGGTGTTTCAAAAATTATAAAAACATACAGCAGTGACAGTGCTCAATTCAAAGTGAATCCTTCTTGCTTGTAATTAATTACAAATTAAATTATCTATATTGGATTCAATTATAATAGATATAATTCTTTATCAGTTTCAATATACATGTAACATTAACAGTCTCTGTTGTAATTAAAATAGCAGTAATATTATAAAATTTTCAGCTATTTTAAAACTATACCAAAAGTTAACTTTTAAATTAATATAATTATAATTACTGAATTAAGTAAAAATTTGATTAAATTAAGTAATATATATGTAATAATATATGTTTATTATATAATTTTACAACTCAAAAAAGGTTTTTTTAAAATATTTTAATAAATCATCTGCTATTACTTTAGTTATTTTATTCATGTTGCTTATATTATCATCTTTATTAACTGTATTTTTATTACTCTTATTAGTTACTTCATTTTTAATAAATTTATCAGTTATACTTATTATTAGTACATTTATATTTTATTTAATTTCAACTTGAAGATAACCTAGATATATAAAACATTTAAATTAAAACATTTGTAAGCAATAATTATAGTAGCCATGTTTATATACTAAAACATTGGTATTATGCAAATCATAGGTTTTGTTATAATAAATTAAATTATATAAAACTAATATATTTGATTTTTTGAAAATAACAAAACCTCTTAAAAGATAATGATCTGTTACTTTATAGTTCAATAAGAGTAGTTGGTATATATTATATTGATACTTTCAATCAAAAATTTAATAATAGGTTGCTTGTTATAATTTTGATATATTTTTGCAAATATGTTTAAAAGCTACACAATATATTTTCATAAAAGCATATCTAACTGTTTTAGTATATATAGATATTTTATCAAATGGTCAAAATTTTGTTAAAAAATATTATTATAATGTTGCTAAAAAATAAATTACACTTTCTTTTATAATTGTTTTGCAGTAAATAACTTAGTAATACATCTTCAAACTATACGATGAACATTTTTGACAAAATAATTACTAAGAGAAAGTAAATAGTTAATAATAATATTAAGTATTAGATGCTAATCTCTATCTAGTAAAAAAACATTTAAAAAAAATATTAAAGAAGTATGCTTATAATTTCTTTAATCAAATTAAAAAAAAAGATCTGTTCAATAGTAAATACATGCCTTATTATAAGCTGACTAATCTTCCTTCCAATAATGTATAATATAAACATCAAGAACTAATAGAATTAGATTACTTAATAGATTGGTTAAATATAAAATTCAATATTTTTATACATTAGACCAAATTTTGAATAAACTATATCAACAATATTAAACTATATTATATATATAATATAAAGAATTAAAGCAATTTTTTATAGTTTTTTTTTTTTTTTTTTTTTTCTCCCTCCACTATCCTGAAGGTCCTTAGTTACCTTAGGATCTGTCATATCTCTCAAGGCCAGAGTTATCATCTAGCGAAGTTTATTAAATAGGCGAATTGGCCTTCTTTATGTCATCGAACTAGTAAGATAGCTTATGCTCTGTTAAGTCCATCATATAACATCCCAGGTCCCTGGCCCATGGTGTAGGACAGATCCGCAGTTCCCTAACTTCACATGACCCACTAGTTAGATCGCACTTTCTAATGTTCTTATTATATTCTTAAGCTGGGTTTTACTCAATTTTTACATCATTTGTTGATGAATTCACCTTATCTGGTTATCCTCGACCCCGTGGTTATGCCGACGGACTGCATTCTACACGTATAAATCCTGTTCATTCCTTACATAGAAAATTTTCCTCTTGAAGATCATTCCAGTCGTAGTTCTGACAAAGCCTTGTCCCCTAGTTGGATTCGAACCCGCAATCTTGCAACTGTGATCTGGGAGCACTAACCACTGCGCTATTGACCCACAGGTCTTTTTTTTTTTTTTTTTTTTTAAATCTTAAGCAGTTACACTAGTACTTTATTAAGATTCTTAAAACTATATACTATAATTACATAAAATTTTTC